CTACAGACACTGCCCAGGCAAAGGAAGGCAGCAGAAGGCATTGGGGTGTCATTAAAGTGTATCTAAAGTAAAACATTTGTTTAATTTTAAGTAAAGCAGGTAAGGGATAAAACCCCATTTTGTTTAGATGACCATTTGTCATCGGGACTAAAAGTGAGGGAAAATCCATATTTTGAGCTACCACCAGAATAGAAATAGAAGGGAAGTACAGCAATGGGGACACATGTTCCCATTGAACTGATTTCATTTCACTTCCTTTTGTGTGTACAGGCAAAAGAAAATCTAAAAGTTGTTTAAAGTTTTACCAACTTCCTACTCCATCCAAAATAAAAAAATAATACATATATTTTGGCTTTAGATATACTTTCAGGAATTTATTAGAGCAGGGTAAAAGTTAGAAAGGGGGCAAATTTCCCCTGGCAGGGTGAAAGGGCTTTTCTAGATTCTGGCCAGAGTTAGGCCCACCATAGAATAGACAGATGTCCCGAGAATGACTAGTGGGAAGACATGTTTCAATCCTCCATCCCTCCTGGGCCCCTCTTGTCATACTCATTCACTGGACAGAAGTAGCTCATATATGGCGTACATTCAACCAGGTCGAGCTAGAAAATCTCTGTAGGTAAAATCAATTGCTTCCATTATTGGAATCATTCACTTTCACCGCTTAGGTGTACCCATAAATGTCCTGGCCTTCACCCCAGCATCCTATTATGGGCATGACCAGACTGCTAATGGCCAGCCAGAGTCAATAAAACAGCAGGACTTATATTGCTGGTACATTTTTTGTCATAGTCTTAAACCAACAGTTCATAGGATTTTGAATAACTTCTCAAGTAAAGGGATGTTGCTATTATCTAGTTAGAATCACTAAACCACTGAGATTGATGCCTGGAAAATCTTCCCATAGTCCTCTGCAATAATTAGTGAATTAATTTTTGAATCAGGAAAGCAGATTTTGTGGATTTACCTAAATGCCTGCAGGTTTGTCCATTTGGAGAGTCATAATACTTTATGAATTGTGTGGATCTTGGCAGATCAGAGAGATATGCTTCCAAATATTCAGCAAAAAAATTTACATAGGGATTCTCCTGATTCCATCATTGCAGATCCCTCCTATTATACACATGGACAGTAATGGGAGTATGCTATTATTATGGTCTATTCAGCTTTCCCCAGGCCAAAATTGGCCATTAACTTTTACTTAAAATGGAATGACCAGGCCCATTTACAGATTATTGTTTTGAATTGTTCCTTTACCCAGGTTTATCTTTTCCTTGATCTTGCAAAAGCGTTTCTTTAAACAGATGCAAGTGGTCCCATGAAAACTCTTTCAAGGGTCACTGACTTCCCTGCCCATTTTATTCTGTATAGTAGTGAGTTGAAGTTATGGATGATCAATCTCTTGGACATACTTTTGGTTTCCTATGTTTTCAGATGATTCACATTTATTCATATGCAGGAAGATTGAACCCTTTAAAGGGTCAACAACATTTCACTTATCAGTGCATGCTGATGGCTCCTACTGTTTCTGAAAAATACTAAAAACTACTGGCTGGTTTAACTTCTCTAGTGCCCACCCATAACTAAAATATATGAGTTGAGTAGATTGACTCTTCAAGGTAAATATCTTAAACATATTGGCAAAACATTCATAGAGAAAATGTCTGTGTGTATTTCATCCTGTGTATACTGTTCTGTTACTTAACCACCAATAAATGTTTGTTCTCAACATGTAAATGTAGAATGAGAGAGAGAGACCATGTTTCCATCATCCACAAAATAATCCACACTTTTTAGGCCATGTGGACCTCTCGTGTCAACAAAACATGGCAGCTCCTACTAGATTACTAAACCAATTAAAGAACTGTAAAGCATGAGGTCTTTCTCCAGTTTTCTGACAGATCTGATATTGAGAGCCTAGACAGTAAGATAAAGTCCATGTGCATTATCAGCTGCTTCACAGGTGAACTATCAAATCTGCCCCTGCAATTTGTTTCATGGAGTTGAATTTTTGTCACCTGTCAGCTTTTCAAAAATTAAAAAAAAATCAATGTCCTGCATGAAAAGCATGTCCACTGTCAGCAGCTGCAGAGACAGAACCTTGTGCCCTGTGGGGAATCAGTGGTCTCTTCACTTCAGAGGTCTAACATGCCCCATACTGAGTGAGACCTGTGCCTTGGCAAACAGAAAGACTACGTCAGGTTAAGCTAGTGTGTGGTTTACTAATGGACAAGTAGACATTCCATCAGCCATCATTTTTGAAGAGACATTGGTCTATGGTCTCCCAAACAGTCTGTTGCTAAATATCTAGTCCGTAGATTTCCTCTAAAAATATTATCGTACTGTCCCTTCTTACAGTATCTGTTCTGTGAAAAAAGTGGGACAAGGTAAAGTTAAATGATAAGAATTGTGTGTGCAGCAAATATAAATATATAGAGCTAGCAAGTCTTTTTTTTTTTTTTACTTTGAATGGGCTAGCCTCATTGCTTCTAGGCGATGTTTTCCAGTGCTACCTAGAAGTCTCAGCCAACCTCATTTTATACTGTCATTTTTAACATTTTAAATATACATAAACATGTAAGAGGCATCTTGTGCCAGCACCAGTTCACCATTTGTTAAGACAATTTGTGAGTAAAAAAGGCTACTAAAAACTTTAAAGAAAGTGGAAAGCTTGATGTCTTGAGTTTGCAACTGTCAAAGTATCTGAAAGTAAATGTGTGTACATCACTTCACAACAGCCAATCAGATCAAAGTGTAGCTAAGGCCAATATTTTTTTCTTAGGTTTGGATAGATTGATGAGGGGATAGAGCTCCTATGTCCCCGTTATGGAGAATCAATCTCTCTCTATTGGTCCTGATGACCATTGTCACCAAAACTAAGAGTGAAGGAAAATCCAAACTTTTAAATTGCCACTGCAACAGGAATAGTGGGGAAGCGCTACAATGGAGACACTTGTTGAGGTGGCAACTAAAAGGGCATTTACCCTATTTCCTATTGTGTCTACAGGACAGGAAGTGATGGTACATCCAGGGGCGGACTGACAACTCATGGGGCCCCCGGGCAATAGGGGATCATGGGGCCCCGGTGTCCTTGCCCAAACTCAAAAAAGCCTATGAAAAAAAGATACCGGGGCATCTCATGGGGCCCCTACTGACCCTGGGCCCTCGGGCAGTGCCTGAGTTTCCAAATGGTCAGTCCGCCCCTGGGTACATCTACAAACCAGAATAATGCAGTGAAAAAACTGACAGAAGTTGTAACCATTTTCTAGTCTATCCAAAACTACAAAAAAGGTATTGACTTTAGATATACTTTAACATTTCATATTCTCATCTTACAGTGAAGGTTTGAATTAAATTGCTTGATAATACCAATATAGACAGTACTTCTTTCAAAAACAGAACTAAATAAGGCCCCCAGTAATATTACTGGATAAAAGTCTAATTTCTTCCTTAAAAACCCATAGATGTTTACTGTTTATCATGTGCAGTTTGGAAGGATAGTTCCAAATAACAGGTCCATAAAAAACTGGGCACCACTTTTACGTTTTCATTTTTCCGCTATTAAGTTTGAGTCATCCTGCGAGTATCAACAACGTTATGACAAAAGTCAGCAAAACTGAAAAATGATTAAAAATAAGGGGGAAGGTTGGGATGTCCAGCTTTCCTGTACCATTGAGGATTTACATCTCCATCCATGGAATTTTTGCTTGGTGAACCTTCAGAAATGGCTTTAAAACAGAGCAGGGCTTAACTATGATGACTAAAGTATATGATGACATATACTTGACTAAAGCTGATGTAAAAACACTGTCCTATTAGGTTTACTCAACAGTGGGGCTGTGCAAGACTTACTATAATTCCTACATGTTTTCAAGCAAAGGTTCCAAGCTCTGTTCCTATATTAGACTTGAGCACTGTTATGATCATATTTAACATGGATCTAGTGGCTAAGGGAAGCTGGAGTATATACAATGTAGAAAATAAGATTCTGGATTTCTCTTTAAAAGTCAGTTCAGAGAAAACTGATATTTCATATTTGGGTATATGGCTTAGATGACAATAGATGTTATCACCAAGCAACTTTTCAGATTTTTTTTGCAACTATAGTGGCCAGAGTATCCTTCTCTGTTCAACTGTTGTAGCCATTGCAAAGAACTATTAGCCTTTATGCTGGATTCCTATGTGGGACTCATATAGCCCAAGAGCCACAAGAAGCCATATTTTCATCACCAATAGATGCAATATCGTTTTTTGTAGATGAACCCTTTCATTTTCTATAGTGTAGGATAATGGTGGAAAAATTATTAGTGCTTTCCAAACAGTAGCCATAGGCCTCCATGTATTAAGATACAGCCTCAGAAGATATTTTGGACTAAACTTGTAACTGATTTGAAAATTTTTAATGATACGCAGGCAATCTATGGATTAGGTTTTGACCAAAACTGAGCAAATAAGCATTTGAGATGGTCCAACGTTCTGGAAGATGTATCCCCATTCATTGCCAAAATGTTGGAGGCAGCTGTCAATATGGCATCAGGTATATGATGGCAGGCAGTTAGCTCTCAGCATTGCCTGCATATTTGCCAATATATGGCCAGCCTTAACCTCCGCACTCAAAATCTCTCCACATTCCTCACCTGCAGAAGTTGTGTGGAGTTGGCCTTCAGTCCTTGCATTTGTAGAAATATGTTTTGCCTAAGATTTCCTTCTCAAAATATGCCAACATTTTAGTGACTTCCACAGGGAAAAATAAACAAGCCTTTACAACCTATAATACCCATAATGAAATTAAAAGTGCAATAACTGTTTCCTTCAGTAGCGCTCAAGTTGTGCTTTCTCACAAAATTTACTTAGTAGAAAAAACAGTTTTAGGCAACAAATGAATCAAATTCAATTGCACATCCAAAACTTACTATTTGAGCAGTAAATAAATTAGTATGCCCTACAGTATTAAATATAAACATTAAAATAAGTGAATTCTAGAGAATTTATCAACTTCATTACCAGTCTTTCCTTTCCAATTTCTGTTTGATCCTTTCCCGCAGAAACACAGCAGTGATAGCACTGCATAGAATGAGAGCAAAGAATGAAATACAGGATATTTGGGTCAATTCCGGATTGTACCGTGTCATGAAAAATTCTTGCCTGGCTTTAAAGTCCAGAAGCACAGCTTCAAGCTGGGAAAGAGTGCACAGGCCTAGAAACACGTGGAATATCTGGTGGCCATGGCCAACAATGTCACAAACCCCTGGAAAGAATTTCTCTGGGACTGGGCAAGAGAAAAAATAGGCACTGATTATGAAGAAAATGATCTGTAGACAGTGGAACCAAATAGCCTTGTCGGAGCAATCTTCCGCATGGCAGACAAGGATGCGATGTATAACTGGACTGATGTCTAAAATATACGCGAGGCCAGCTGGGAAAACTTGCCAGATCTTCCTCATGACTGGATAAGGCCTTTTGTAATGGTATTTAGCATAGCAGCAACCAAAACAGGACATCCAACCTAGAAAAGCAGCTCCTGGCAGGAAGTAGTACCAGGCATGATCATACCAGGCTTGGCTGGAGCTGTAGTAGTAGTGGGCAAGGGCACTGCCATACTGATAAGTGCTAACTCCAACATAGTCCATGAAGTAAAATGTATAATGAGCCAACTCAGATTTGGACTGTAGGAGGTGTGCAAGGATACTACATGTGAGATAAGTCAATGATGCTATTATGTATATGACCAGTGGCATGGAAAGCACATCCCAGGAGAAGCCTTCTGTCTCCACAAACGCTCTGAACCTCAGGAGAACAGCAAAGGCCACCAGAAGATGTGTCCAGACATTAACCGATTCATTATGCTTCTGAAAAAGGCTTAGGAAATAATATTTCCAGTCCTGGTCAATAGGTCTATATCCAGTCTGAATATATGGTTCCCTGAAAAGATTAGGAACATCAGAGTCCTTGACTGTAGAAGGCATCTTTGGAAGGCCACCTTCTAGAAGCTTCGGGAGGCGACGCAATTGCTGTGCACTGATGGATAATGTGCTGATACATTCCAGAATGGCCGTCGTCATTGTTGGAACAAACTGATGATTACATATGATGACTTTGTTTCAACCTACGGCAAAGAAAATAAACATGTCAAGCAAGAAAACAGAGACATACCTCTTACTCGGCTCATGGCAAGAATTTGTCTTCCATTATTTCTGTACAGTAATCTGATTTCTTAGCATTGACTGTTACAAGATATTCCTAACAAAGGCAAATGTCAAGCAACAAAACCAATCATCTTATTTAATCAGATCTTAGATTTGTCTCCTAGCCTCATTCAGTGTTTCTTATATTAATCCATAAATGGCTAGTTCATCAAAGCAGTCAAGAATGGACACTCATAGGTAGATTTCTTAGCCAGAACATCATGTGTAAAGCTATAAGAAATACTGTGCTACTAAGACCTAGTTACATAGCATTTTTCAGGGAGATAAAGATGCACCTGGCCATTTTTTTTTTTCAGTTTTATTCTTTGAAAGGAACATTGGGCAGTCAGACATGACCTGATAAGTACAAGCATGTCATTGTTGATGGTCAAGTTCACCAGTTAGGTGTTATAAGAGTTAGCAGAGGATTCTGAACAGTGGCAGGCAGTCACTCCCAGAGAGAGATCATCTTAGCCAGCTTTTTTTGGTTTTGTCATGACTGTTTTCTTTAAAGCAGGGATCTCTAAACTTTCTAAACAAGGGCCAGTTTACTGTCCTTCAGGCTTTTTTTTTGGGGGGGGGGGGAAACTGTGTCCAGTAGGAGTAAACAATGCCTCATCATTGGTTTTAGTGGGGAGGAATAGTGCCTCACTGTTGGTATGAATAAAAGGAATACTGCCTCATCAATGGTGTTAGTGGGAGGAACAGGGCTCCATCATTAGTGTCAGTTGGAGGAAAAGTACCCCTAGGGCTGGATAAAGGCATGCAAAGGGCTATATCTGGCCCCAGGGCCACAGTTTGGAGACCACTGCTTTAAAGGGTCAGGTCATTTCATTAACAATTGATGTTCTTCTGTCACCATATTTGAATTTTTTTTTTCACGCAGAAGCTCATAAAGTATATCAGGTTCCACCATCTGAGAAATGACTTTCAAAGAAAAACAAAATCTTGAGGCTCAACTGCATATAAAAATAATATCTATTTCAATCAATACCACAGTACAGGCAGCACAAAGCATTGGACCTGTGTGACCTTTGTGGTATTTTAAAGAGTCATCCCAGTTAAATATTATATTTCAGTACTGCCCACTTAGAACACTTACTGATTTCTTATCTCTTTTGAAAGCTAAATCAATGAGATTCCATACCTGAGGTCCACAGGCCAGCCACCATTACTGGACAATACAAGAGACAGTAAATGCAGTTAAAAAAGTGAGACTTCTCTTCCTGCTGCCGGGAGGAACAGACTTCAACCTGGGTGAACCATATCCCCCATAAGATATATGAGTGATCAATGAATGACTTGGCTCACAAATCTCCACTAAGAAAGAAGTGTCTTTACAGGTAAGACCCACAATATTAAAACTGAGCTATTACTTTCTGGAGCATAATAGGAATTTGTGAGCTGTCTTCACTTCCGAAATGCAAGCAGGCTGGCTACCCTGCTGACCCTTTGCTTTCAGTGTTTTCTAAATTGCTGACCCAAAACAAGAATGCAGATGTGGATTTCTGACCTTAGTTGAGGGTTGGTGACACAAAGATATTGAAGTCAGAGGATGAGCATGTCAGCCAGGTGTCTAACATTTTTAGGAAAAGGCTGGCAATGGCAGTCAGCTTTCCTGTAATACAGACCAATCACTGCTGCTCTCTCACGTTGTGCAGGATGAGTGGTCTTATATTCCTCCCCATTTAGAAATGTTAATTGTATCTAAGCAGTACCCTGAAAGAAATATCTTTGGCCTAAAATTCCTAATAAATAAGAGCGCAGTTCCTGGTATGTGAGGGTGTTTAGGCAATCCTGTGACTGCAGCTTCATAGCTGTACAGTAAAGGAAATACGTATTTGATCCCCTGCTGATTTTGAATGTTTGCCCACTCACAAAGAAATGATCAGTCTAAAAATCGAATGGTAGGTGTTTTGTAACACTGAGAGACAGAATAGCAACAAAAAATTCAAAAGAAATGCATGTCTAACAAATGATGCACTGATTTGCATGTTCATGAGAGAAATAAGTATTTGATCCCCTTCACAAAACATGACAAATCCCTTGTTGTCAATTACAGAGGTCAGACGTTTCCTGTAGTTGGCCACCAGGTTTGTACACATCTCAGGAGGGATTTTGGCCCACTCCTCTTTGGCAGATCCTTTCCAAGTCATTAAGGTTTGGTGGCTGACATTTGGCAACTCGAACTCTCAGCTCCTTCCACAGATTTCCAATTGGATTAAGGTCTAGAGACTGGCTAGGCCACTCCAGGACCTAAATGTGCTTCTTCTTGAGTCACTCCTTTGTTGCCTTGGCCGTGTGTTTTGGGTCATTGTCATGCTGGAACATTCATCCAAAACCCATTTTCAATGTCCTGGCTGAGGGAAGAAGGTTCACACCCAAGATTTGACGGTACATTGCCCCGTCCATCGTCCCTTTGATGCAGTGCAATTGTCCTGTCCCCTTAGCAGAAAAAACACCCCCAAAGCAGAATGTTTCCACCACCATTTCTTGAGCAGAGGGACCTTGCGGGCACTGCAGGATTTCAATCCTTGTCGGCGTATTGTGTTACCAATTGTTTTCTTTACGTGTAGTTCTGGGATGATTCCTCACTGTTCTCATGATCATTGACACTCCACGAGGTGAGATCTTGCATGGTGCACCAGACCTGGGGAGACTGACAGTTGATTTGTGTTTCTTCCATTTGCAAATGATTGCACCAACTGTTGTCACATTCTCACCAAGCTGCTTGGCGATAGTTTGGTAGCCCAGTCCAGCCTTGTGTAGGTCTACAATCTTGTCCCTGACATCCTTGGACAGCTCTTTGGTCTTTGCCATGGTGGAGAGTTTGAAATCTGATTGTTTGATTGCTCCTGTGGACAGGTGTCTTTTTATAAAGGTAACAAAATGAGATTAGCAGCACTCCCTTTAAGAGACTGCTTCTAATCTCAGATTGTTACCTGTATGAAAGACACCTTGTAGCCAGAAATCCTGATGAATGATAGGGGATCAAATACTTATTTCCCTCATGCACATGCAAATCAGTGCATAATTTGTTAGACATGCATTTCTTTTGAATTTTGTGTTGCTATTCTGTCTCTCAGTGTTACAGTACACCTACCATTTCCATTTTTAGACTGATCATTTGTTTGTGAGTGGGCAAACATTCAAAATCAGCAGGGGATCAAATACTTATTTCCTTCACTGTATATTTGCAGTGTGAGATCTAAGGCACTGCTGCCTCTGTTTGCTAGTCTCAGGAGATTTGGAGTGAGATTCGGCAATGTCACTTCTGTTTTTCACACTATTTTCCATGCTGGAGGCACTGGCATGAGGAAGCAAAACCCTGCCTCTACCAAGATGGCCTCCTCCAGAGAGAGACACTGCGCAAAAGAAAGCATGGTAAGTCTGTAATGAGGGAAATATCAGCAACAGGGAGACCACAGGCAATATGGTGACTAGTCCTTTATCCTTTCTTTGGGCACAGCTTCCAGAGGTCTGTTCCTCTTTAATTGTTGTCATACTGTATTTAAACCAAGTTTCATTTATGTTCCCAGAATCTTATGAGGTCATCTAATACGATTTTGTCAGCCCTGCCTTTAGATTGCACACCCAGTATTTTCCCATGCAAATGAATAATGAGCTGTCAATAAATCAAATATAACAACTAGCCAAACTAGATGATCCTGAGGGTCTTGTTTGCAGCTCTGTTTAAACGCAATCCTGTACACGTGCCTCTGACAAGCTGAACTTTTGACAACTCTGGCTTCAGCGCAATGTCTTTAGGTTACACATTATCTGGTATGGCTCTGGAATTTGTAAAATGTGTAAGATTTGATAAGATACATCTATTTATAGAACAAATGCATTTTCTGATTTACAGTCTGTCTGGAAGTAAGGCAATAAAAGCAAATCGACCATGCACTTTGCAAGTGCAGTTGCTCCAGAGCTTTGTAATTGAGGGGAAGCTCTGATTACTTTCATCATCCAAACATGTGCAAGCAAAAATGCTGTTTTTTTTATCTTCCCTGCAATTTCAGTGGGTATTCTTTGCAAAGTGAAGTCACCTCATTTACTAAGCTATGGAGCAACCAGGGGCAGACTGACCATTTGGAAACTCGGGCACTGCCCGAGGGCCCGGGGTCAGTAGGGGGCCCCATGAGATGCCCCTGGTACCTTTTTCATAGGCTTTTTTGAGTTTGGGCAAGGACACAGGGGCCCCATGATCCCCTATTGCCCGGGGGCCCCATGATTTGTCAGTCCGCCCCTGGGAGCAACTATACTTGCAAAGTGCACAGTCTATGTGCTTTTAGTAAAACAACCTCAATTTCAGCTTCTATATTTCTCTGATAAAATGTTTTGTGGACACAACAAAAATAAAAGAATGACCCCAGGAAATGTTTGCAATAATTAGTCGATTGCCGATGCTATCTAGGAAATGACCCCAGGAAATCTTTGCAATAGTCGATTGCGGATGCTATCTAGGAAATGACCCTAGGAAATCTTTGCAATAGTCGATTGCGGATGCTATCTAGGAAATGCTTTTTTTTTATTTTTAGTCAAAGTTGAAACCCAACCAAACAGTTAAATACACAGTTAAAATACACAAAAAATTGGTTCTGCTTGCCAAAAGATTTCCATTCCTGTCTATCCATACCTCAGAGTTACATAGCTCTGCCAGACAGCGAGAGCGCAGATGAACAATACATCTAGGTCACATCTCTACCCCCAGTTGTGATTGGCCAGTAAAGCATTAGCAAAAGACTGCTTGGGTCTATTTTCTGCTCTTTCATCCTGTCAGCACTGGTGTGTGCAGGACACCTGATTGGCTCCAAGTTCTGCCCATCTCTCTTCCAATAAGAGTGCTGCTGTAAATGAGATTAGAAGAATATCTA